AGATTTGGAGTAGAGCAATTGTTCTGAGAGGCTGGTGTCAGGCATGTGAACAAGGTGATCCACGCAGTGGAGCTTGTTTTGGGTAAATAGCAACTTGATGGTGCGATTGTTAACTTGGGAGAAGATTCTATCATTAGACTGTCTATTCCGATAACAAATTTGGAGGATCTTTTTGAGACAGTAGTAATATTTCTCCAATGCCTTAAAGTGGCTTATGTAAATTGTCGTGTCTCCAAAGTGCATCACAGCATAGGCATCACTTGTCCAATAAACAAATGTCTTAGCTCCAGGTTTGAAATTTTGGTCCTTGACTACTTTATCCATCAATCAGCTGAAGGCTGACTGACGTACTGAAGGTAATGGGTAACTTTTGTAATCTATGTGTACGTTTGTTAAAAGGAAATGCCCAATCTATGGAAAGTTGTCCATGTTTTCCAGGGTCTTGGATGATCTTGACTAACTGGCAATGATGTTGCACATGGGGGATGGTTAGAAGAGGACCTTAGTTTTCTGGGTATTTAAAGCAAGTCCTGTCCTGTTCTATCCATTGGTGAAAGAGTTAACAATAATTTGGAGGACATCCTCTGAGTGATCACAAATATGAGTATTGTGTATGTGTCGATGCTTGATAACTGAAGTTTGAGAGACTTTGGTTTAGAAGTGAAGATGACCAAAGTTAAATAATTTTTTTCCTTGGTCCTTAAATGACACTGTAGAGAACTTGCTTGGAGCTGAGGTGCAGAATTGCAATAAGAAAAGTGAAGAAGATGGTTGGTGCAATGACTCAATGACCATAAAGTAATGCTGAATATTAACAAAGAATGCCACATCAAAATATGATCTCGAAATGAACAAAATATTTGATCTATTTAACTGGATGCTTCAATATAGTAGATTTGTGATTTCTTTAACATGTTTGTTTCCTGGCCTAGCAAAATGCCAAAATATGTATGGTGTGTTATCATATTACAGAAGCTTTGGAGGTTATTTCAGCGTCAGTACATGAAAAACTTGAAATAGAGATGACAGAGACACCGGATGTGATTTCAGAACCCACACCAGGTTAGTTATTTAATTCATGGCTTTTTCACAAACTCTGCAACCAGTCAGGATTTTGGATCTGCTGTAGACACTTTGTTTGATTTGGTGATGCAGGTTGATCCGGAAAATGATTTGTTTTATTTCGAATTGAAATTTAGTGTCCTGTACGTACTTGTATGGTAGTGAGTCTGGCAAAGGTTTATAATAATGGTACATTATTTGGGTTCTAAAGTAGAAGTAAATTGGATTTTGGTTTTCAGTCTGTGAAGTGAAAATATTTAAAGATTTAAACTCTTTTTAAGCATTGGATCAAAGCAGCATTTCCAAGAAATCATATGACTATCAGGCATGCATGTGATCAGTATGATTCCCAAAATTAGATACAGTATTCCAGCTAAGGCCCACATTTGTAAATCTGTAGTATCACTGGCTTGTTGACTTGCTCAGCTGCCTTCCAAGATTTGTGACTATCCATCCCCCATACATCTGCCCAGTGCACCAGTATATCTCTGCTTTACTGAAGAATTCTCCTATTCTGCTTGCTTTTTGTACTGTCAAGTTTTGTATCATTGCAAATTTCAAAATTATGCTTACTCCATTTCCTTGTTCATCACTCACTCCTTGCCCTATTGCTATATACCACCAACTCTCCTGCTCTCTTCTCTCTTAATATTCAACCCACCTTGGTCTTTACTTCATCAATTAAGGACAAAAAGTGAATGGTCTGGATAGAAGCTATGAAAATTTCATTACAGAAAAAGCACAATTATTTTTGTCATTAACTGATGCAGTGTCCTTTGTTTTCTGCATTGGGCTACTTTGTCTTCTGTGTAAGAACTATGTGGTAATTACTACCCACACTATTAATTTTGAATTGATTCCACATTACTGACCACAAGCAAGAGAAATAGTGTAGTCTTAGTTACTCCATCAATACCTGTATGCCACTTCTGTTTTGGAATGTCTGAAGGGTACCTGACTTGCCACTTTTCAAAATTGCTTTAAGGTGACTACTTCTTGAGTCTCCAGTTGACAGCAATTTTTGCTTGATTTTAAAAGGTGGATCATAAGAACATAAGAACATAAGAACTAGGAGCAGGAGTAGGCCATCTGGCCCCTCGAGCCTGCCCCGCCATTTAATAAGATCATGGCTGATCTTTGAGACTCCGCTCCACTTACCCACCCACTCTCCATAACCCTTAATTCCTTTGCCTTTCAAAAATTTATCTAGCCTTGCCTTAAAAGCATTCAGTGAGGTAGCTTCAACCACTTCACTGGACAGGGAATTCCACAGATTCACAACCCTTTGGGTGAAGAAGTTCCTCCTGACCTCAGTCCTACATCTGCTTCCCTTTATTTTGAGGCTATGCCCTCTAGTCCTAGTTTCATCTGCTAGCGGAAACAACCTCCCTGCCTCCACTTTATCTATTCCCTTCATAATCTTATGTTTCTATAAGATCTTCCCTCATTCTTCTGAATTCCAATGAGTATAATCCCAGTCTACTCGGTATCTCCTCATAATCTAACCCTCTCAAGCTTTATCATTATTACACATTTTCTCTCGACATGCCAACGCCAGAGATTGAGCCATCAATTAATTGTGGAATTTTGATTGTGGTATCAGCAATCATGGGCATATCTCAATTAGTGAAATTTGGACTTGGCTATTGGATGCTGTACAGTTCCCTGCCAATACAATCGAAGGTCGCAGTTGAATATGGGCCACTTGTACAATTTCAAAAAGGTTAAAGGGAGCAAACTGGGATAGAAAGTTCTCTTTTTTTTTTTTTAAAAATAGTTTGGCATTTTCCATACCATTGATATGTTTGGGAGAGTTTCTGTATATGGGAAACAGTTTTGTGTTTAAATTGCATTCACTGAAATTCAAAGAAAACTTTATTAGTATAACACACAGGGCTTTCATTTTCACAAGTAATGCTTTCATTGACACAAACAAAGGCCATATGGTCCCATGTCGAATTGATTTTTTTTTTCTGAATGCCTAACCCTAATAGCTTTTGATTATCGTGAAATCCATTTTTTGTGTAATAGCTAGTGTCTTTTACTTCCCCAAGTGCAAAATTCCTGTTAACTGAAACAATTTCTGATGTTCATTGATCATGTTTCTAATTTTAAAGTTGAATGTTTACTTTATTTGAAATCTTGTTTCATAGAACCTGAAGAGGAAAAAGGTGAGGCTGATCTTGATGATTGGGAAGCTATGGCAAGTGATCATGAACAAGATAAAGGTAAATATTTGTCACAATTTTTTTCAACCCTAAAGACTTCAGTGTGAAATAAGGAGTGCATTTGAATCTATTGTAAAATTATATTTCTGCATTGAAAATCTATTGAGCTTTTTCTTTCTCCCTCAAAATTTAAAATTCGCAAATTTAACCTGATATTTGCCCAAATCATTTCAGATCTATCTTTTCACCAATGATGCCTACATTGTGATTTACTTTTTTGAGATTAAACCAGTTCGGTGGCTAATCACAGTAATTTGAAAAATCTTTAACAGAAATGAAAACTGTTCACATAGAAGTAAAAGAGGAGGCTGAAGAGGAGGATGAGGAGGAAGAGGAGGAGGAAGAAGAGAGTGATGATGATGATGATGATGATGATGATGGAGCAAGTGAGGAGAGCGAAGATGAAGAGGAAAAGCAAGTTTTGACAGCATCATTGGAAGTGGATAAGGAACCTGAAGTGGTAACAAGTGAAAAAGAAAAACAACTATCAAAAGAGTTTAGCTCAGATTCTGAACTGGAATCTGATTCAGATGATGGCCGAACAAAAGAAGAACGGATTTATGATGAAGCAAAGCGACGTATTGAGGTATTGTTTCCACTTAGAAATAACTGCTATTTGGCATTGTAATACCGCGAATGGATGGAACTTCGTATTTGTACAGGAATTTTCTGTATGGCCTTAATTGAGCTATGGGAATGTCTCTTAATCTTCATTCACTTTGCAAACCTTAGATATGAATTTTGAATTTTAAATTTTCCTTTGTCTTCTTCCCTCATTGCCTGTTAAAGATGTTATCCTATGTGGTTTTGAAAATGAAATTATATTTGACAAATTTTTCAGAACTCTTACCACATGTAATCAGCAGGATGGATGAAGGGAAGCTAGGAAATGTACTGTATTTGGATTTCCAAAAGCCACCTGACTAGGTGCGACATGAAAGGCTTTCTCACGAGACATGGGTCTAGATATACAGTGGGCTGGCTAAGTAACAGGAAATAGAGGGTCAGGATGAATTGACAATCTGAAAATTATCCATCTATAACTAGTAGGTTGCCATAGGAATTGGTGTTGGGGACTGTATATGTAAATCACTTAGATGAAGGCACCAAGTGTACTATTTGCTAATGATATTACAATAGTTAGGAGAGCAGATTTTTTTAGACGCAAAAAGTGTGGAAAGCAATATAGTTTGTGAACAAAAATGTGACAAATGGTGTATCTTGGGAAAATGTGAGCTTCTCCGTTATGATGGGAGGAATAGAAAAGCAGAATGCTTTTAAATGGATGGAGACTGCAGCAGTATGATATCGAGCAATTTTTACTGTAAGAGCAGGTTTACTGTACCTGAATCTCATCAAAAAATACAATGTAAATACAGTAAGTAAATAGGAAGGTAAATGTTGGGCATTTATTGTAAGAAGGATGGAGTGTAAAACTAGGGAAGTCTCCCTATGACTGTACAAAGCATTGGTGAGACCACAGCTAGAGTGAAAAGTTTTGCCCTCCTGAAGGGAAGCATTATGTTGTTTGGAAGAGGTCAGAGAAGGTTCACTTGGCTGATTACTGGGATGAAAGGATTGTCTTTTGACGGGGATAGTCATTGGAGATTAAAAGAACGAGAGGTCATCTGATTGTAGCACACAAGATTCTTGGGGGAGTTGATAGGATAGAGGTGGGAAGAGATTTCTCCTCGTTTGGTAATCTAGGACGAAGGGGTACATGTCAAAATAAGGTCTCCATTTAAAATGGAGATGGAGTGGAACTTTTTACTGTTTGGAATTCCTTCCCCCAGAGAGCATTACTTGTTGAGTTAATCAGTATACTTAAAAGTGAGTTAGATTTTTGACCTATAATAGATCAAGGGTTAAGGGGGATAGCAAGGAAGTGAACTTAATACCACAATGAAATGCAATAGTGGAGCAGGCTTGAGGGACCAAGTTGCCTACTACTTCTTTATCTTGTGTCCCAGGGATAATTCATAAGCTCCAATTGATCATTCCACACTTGTGATGCTTGGCAAATAGTTGTTTGAATTTTCAGCTATTTGATATTGTCACACTAGGACCTTGCATCCTGTTTACATTTGCATTTCCCATAGAAATGAGTGAATGATGATTAAGAATGCTAACCAGTGATGTGAAAAGAACTTTGAGCTTCTCTGCCCTTATCCTGGCAGAGATGAATTAACTCAGCACATGCCAGCAATTAAACTGGAAGCTTCCTCTGGACTCTACACAGTATTTTTACCCACTAAATCAGTCTCTTTCCAGTTTGCTGTTTAGCAGCAAATAAAGTACAAGATAGTAACATGTTGAACTGGACATTTTTGAAGATGATCTAATATAAACGTCATACAGGGAAGCTTCTTACTATTGTGGAGAAAGTCAGACCCAGAGCATAAACTTAAAATTAGTGTTAGGTCATTTTAGTTTTTGGCAAAAAGGGTAATGGAAATATGGAATATATCTAACTTCCAAACCAATCACCAACCAACCAAGAAGCAGTGGATTCTGGATGAAGTAAGATTTTCAGGAATGAGATTGATCAACTTTTTAATTAGTAAGGGTATCAAGCAATGCAACAAAACTGGTAAATGACAATGAGGTAAGTGAACCTGTCCCTATTTCCCATTGTTCATTATAATCTGACATTTGAGTTATGCATTTAAGAATATCGACTTGCTGAATACGTTGATTTCTTTTTATCTTGGAAATGTCTTCTGTGCTTTCTCAGAAACGCAGAGCAGATAACATTATGAATATAAATACTGAAAAACTCCGAGCACCAGTTATTTGTGTCCTTGGCCATGTTGACACAGGGAAGACAAAAATTTTGGATAAGGTATGTAAAATTGAGACTTATTTGCACAATTAGCATAAAAGAATAAATAAAGCACCAACTTGAATTGAATGCCTGCGGGTTGACTGCGCTTGTTACCGCACACAAAATCAAGACTAAGTTTTGCCCTCAATTAAAGCTTGTTCAGGTGTTTTTAGAATAATTGGACCAGATGCACAGGTATAATTCAGTTAATCATGCATTCTGTAATAGTCTAATTATCATATCTTTTTAGTAGTGTTTGTTTCATGCTTGTTTTATTGCAAAATTTGGAGAAGTGGAGTTAGTTGAATTGATTGCGGTGTGTATTTACTGCATGGGAAATTTATATTGACAGATTCTATTATAAATATGGGCAAAATAGCTTCTAAACAACAGTTGACAGAGGAATAATGCTCAAAGGTAATGTTTTTGGCTTTAAGTATGTTCGTATTCCTTTGGCCTTCTTCACATTCAGTGAATTGTGATGTCTTTAGTTGTACTTATTATAAGCAGTGCATTTTTGAAGTTACTTTGGATGAAGGAGAATAAGACATCAGGCACCATTTAAGATTCATGCATGAATGAATGGCATGACTAAGGCAAGTAGCCGAAATTGTGGACTGAGTTTTACCATAGATTTTAGATTCCATAACTTGCCAAAGTTGCATCCCAAACTGCAGTTGAACAGTCCTGACAAGTTTTGCCACAGGTTAGCCTAATTGGTCTCATGTGGGCCCACCATTTTATTAAAGACTACGCGCAGGCTTGTGATGCTGCCAATCCAATGAAAGGGCCTGCAACTCTGAAGCCTCAGTAGCTCCACAAGGAAAAGTGGGTGATGATGAGGTGAACTGGGGACATCCAGGATGACTGAAAGTGGAGGTGCAGTTGTAGAAGTAGGTACAAATTAAAAATCTGACTAGCTAAGGGGTTACCTCGGGGCAAACGCTTGTGTGGGATTAAAAACCGAAAGAACTGCAGATGCTGAGAATTGGGAACAAAAACAGAAGTTGCTGGAAAAGCTCGGCAGGTCTGGCAGCACATGTGAAGAAAAATCAGAATTAACGTTTCGGGTCTGGTGACCCTTCCTTCTGTGGGGGATTGTCTGGCTGTCGGTTGTAGTCCAAAAACCCAGTTGGTGCAGTGCAGTACTGGAGCCAGTCTTTATTCTGTATAACATTTAATTAAAGAATATGGTGTTACACCTCATAATTGAACTTTATCTCTGTATACCACAAGCTGCTGTGAATGTTGCTTTATATCTATTCAAGTGAAACTCAAATTAACGCCTTCCATCATACATAACTAAATGCAGTTGACACAAAATTGTCCCCGCAGGGGTGGATTTGTGCACCATTCTTGTGAAACCTTTGGTTCCAGGGCACTCCCCACCCCTGAAATAGGAACGTTGGTCTCCTCATGATGGGAGACTGTCCTGCTATTTGCAGAATGATGCTGGCTCTGTAATATGGCTGTTGATGGAATCTTCGTGCATGCAAACACTGAAACTTTAAGGACTAGTCACTTGCATTTCAGTCGTGTTGATACAGAATCCCCTCCAATGATCCATTACTGGGAAAGCTCCCATTGAAAATGTTCTACTTTGACTTCTGTCTGTTTAAGCAGACCTCTGTCTGTTACCATCTCTGTTCCTGCCACCTAGGAACCAGAGAAGTCTTGCCCTTTATTGAAGAATTCATTGAATATGCATGTTTAGGATTGGAGAGTGATCAATGTGTCAACTCTTTGAGATAGGTGATGGGTTAAACATTCCTAGGGTGTGAACGGGTTGTCTTAAGGAGAAAAACAGGTTTAATAAATACTCACTGGAGTTTAGAAGAATAAGGCGATCACACTGAAATACATGAAATTCTGAGGATAACTTCGAGGCAAATGCTGGGAGATGTTCTTCTCTCCACTTTCTCCTCTCCCATCTATCTTCGTAACTGAAATTTATAAACCCAAAAACATTCTTGTAAATTTCGTTTGCACCATCTTCAATGTATTCATGTCCTTGCTGAAGTATGGTGCCTAGAACAGTATTCCAGCTGATGTCTACTTTGTCTTATGAAAGTTTGTCATAACCATGCTCTTGTACTGTGTAGCCCTATTTTAAAGAAAAAACGTAGGGATGGTGTATGCTTTATTGATCACGCTCTCCATGTACGCTGCTACCTTTTTTAATGATTTATGCAAATACACCCAGGACTTGTTACTCCTGCACTCTTTAGACTTGTACTCTTATTTTGTACTGTCTCCATATTCTTTTTACCGTGATGGATCTCTTCACCCTTCTCAAGAGGAGTGCTGCACTTTGACCCCACCCTGCATTTGTTTTAGCTTCCCCTTCTCTGACCCATAAGTAACAATAATTAGTGTTATTATTTTTAATGTACCTAATTAGTGGCTATATTTACTTGCAAAATTCAAGTAATTTTTACTGACAGTTAAGTCATCATTGTTGAGGCTGTTTGCCTTATAATTAGCAGATATGAGGCAAATGGAGGTGAAAAGCTGCTTGGGGACATGCTGTAATGCAATCATATCACATTCTCTTGTAGACAAACTTATTGGGTATAAATTGTTGTCTACAAATGAGGCTGTGTTCATGGTAAGGGCAAATGAAGCATGCAACGTCTTAGCTGCATTTCCTGTAATTTTCACGGTCTGCAGGGCCTACCTCTGACCCACCATTCAAAGCTTGGAGGTGAATCTGCTGAGGGAAACTTTGAAGAGGATCTTTGCTAGTGTTTAAGTGCAGCCCCACACAGGTTCCATCATTAAAAGGAGATATTCCAAATTTTAAAAAAAAGCAGTTCACTCCTTTCTTTTGCAGCAGGCGCTTGACACATGCTCAAACAAGTCTTTACCTGTGCCACCCTCTTCTCATAGACATTAGCAATTCCAGTTACAGAGAAATTAACAATATACACAAATCATTTCTAAAATAGTATCGATCACTTGATTGGTTCATCAATGCATGTTGGTGAATTGTTGACCTGTTCATCAGGATACTTCCATGATGTATATTAATACAGGGTGCATGATGTCTAGACAGACATTGCAAGCATTCATAAAATTTTTAATGAGGAATGTAGTTGCTTATGGACTTGATAGTACGGTATCTTGATTTTCTTTGTATACAGCTCCGCCATACGCACGTGCAGGACAGTGAAGCAGGTGGTATAACCCAGCAGATTGGTGCAACCAATGTCCCTCTAGAAACTATCAAGGAGCAAACTAAGATGGTAAAAAATGTAAGTTTATAAGATGTAATAAGGTTGCAGTTTCCTTTTCATTGTTAAACTCCAGTTTATTTCTAAATTAATATTTGTGAAGCAGTGTTCAAATTAATAACTTATTGATAACTGTCTTTTAGTTTGAGAGAGATGAAATTAAAATACCGGGCATGCTGATCATTGATACACCAGGTCACGAGTCCTTCAGGTAAACCCTTTAATTTTATTCTAGGTGTTTGATCTTAAGGACTAATTTTTTTCCCCCATTACAATGGAACTAATACATAATGAGTAAGGGAGCATGTAATTTAAAACTAGCAATTTTCTGAGTACATTTATGCTTTGAGCCAGGAGGGGAGGAAATCCCAATTGAAGTTGGTAATGTGACTTCAACATGATGTTTAAAGACAACTGACGTTGCAGCAATTTACAGCAATTGTAAATGAAATGAAATTTATTTGGTTGAACAACTTTCAAGAAAAGTTTAACTAAATTTATGATGTAGACACAGATTTTCACACCTGAGACAGGTCATGAGAGTCAGGAATTTCCCAGCTCATGCAAAACCTCAGGAGAAAAACTCCACGATCTTAGCCCCAGGGAGAGAGGAGGTTAGTGCAGGATAGAATTGAACCCTCACCTGGCTGCAGATCAGACCACAGAAGCTGCTAAGTGTCAGTGCTGTTTAAAAGATCTGCCTTATTTTTCAGGACCTTTTTTGTTCCAGTTGTTTCGTTAGAGGTAAGGCCCTTCAACCTTTAAGCTTTAAGCTTCAACCTCATACTTATCATTCCCCCTGCCCCCAACAAACCACCACGACCTACCCACCTGATCCTTCTGCTATCTCTGTGCTAAGCCACGTTCTCCTAGCAACCTGTATCAGCTGTATGCCAACTTATTGCCAATCCATGCCCCACATCTACCCTCTTGGCTTGTATAGCCAACTTGCCAATTTATTGCCAACCCACCTACCAGCCTTGGCCTTTTTTTTTGTCTTTGCAACTCACCCTGTGTCTACTATGGACAGGCCTCAGAAGATTAAGTAAATAAAAAGTGTCTAAGTATCTTTTCCAGCCTTCACTACATATTTTTCAAATAGAGTTCCCATTCATGAAAGCCAATTCAGAATTTTCAAATGCCCTCAAGTGCTTAACCCATTATATAATTAGAAGTTTGCTTGATTATATCCCCTCAGCAAAGAGAGTTAATTCTTTAATAACCTCTGAGTTGTCAGTCATTGGTGGAATTAGGACCCTATGATGAAATAATTTTAGCTTGTGGAAAGCAACTAAGCATTAGTAATAATGCTATCAAAATTCTTAAATGAATGTCAACAAACTGTCATTGTGATTCCTGGAACACTATTTTAGCACTCCATGATGCAGGCAACTTTACTTTATGTTTCAGAGGGCTGAGGATTTAAATAATAACACAGCACGACCGTTCTACAGACTATATCTTCCTATCAAGGCATTTATATTTTAAAAAAAACTTCAAATTGTTACAGTGAAATTGGTGTCTGTTTGAACTCCACCAGTCCAGCTGAGTTTAGGTTTCTTTGCTATGTGAGGTGCCCACCTCCCTCCCTTACTGATGAAACTGTGGACAGTGCTTCCTCATCCTGGACAGTATTTTGACACGTCCACAGATCGTACTGGCCTTCCTTGTTGCTCTTTCTATAAACAGCTTACTCAGTATCATTTCCAACTATTGACCTACATGTGTTGTCTTCCCAAGCTACATTTTAGGTTTTTTGGCTGGTTGTCTTTTATTTTTAGATAAGAAAAATACAAAGGTATGGTACTTGAGTCAGATTTATTTGAAATCTAAGATATGGTCTAAAATTCACAAGAATAGGATTCATGTTGTGATACCTGGGTAGGTAAGTAAAATACAGGTCTTTAGTTATGCTGCATAAAATCTCCCCTCTATTCTTTGTAATGCAAATTAAATGTATTAGTACAGTTGATCAATTAGCAATAATGTTCCATGTTTTTGCTGAATGTTCATCTACATCAATCTTTAGGTCTCTCGTCATGGGGAGCAGTTACGATTGGAATGAAATGTTCAATACCTGCGGAAGTATCGTGCAACTGCCGCATATAACTGACTTATTTTGGTATACTTGAAAATTTTGGTAAAATAAGTTTGAAATTCACTTAGCATTGGAGTTTATTTTCAGTTCTTCCTCTCCATGTTTCAAAGCTAGTAGGCACTGAAGGTCAAACTTTTACGTTCTTGAAATTATATGACTCTTGTATCTTCTTTGTGATGCAGATTTCAAACTCTTAAATTGGAGATAACTATATTGAAAGCATGTTCATTTTGTGTTGTTCCTGTTTCAGTAATTTGAGAAATAGAGGAAGTTCTCTCTGTGATATTGCCATCCTTGTGGTTGATATTATGCATGGATTGGAGCCACAGACAATAGAATCCATTAACCTGCTAAAGGCAAAAAAATGCCCCTTCATTGTTGCACTTAATAAGGTGAGTAAAGGTTTTAATTTAAGCAGTGCAAGTCTAGGCTACTCCTTTTAAGAATGAATTACAAAGAAAAATGTGATTGAAATAATTTCAGACTAGATTATTTTATTGAATGAATGGAAAGGTGAAATTAACAGGGAAGAGAAAATTTTTGAAATTCTCATTCTTTTCAGAAATCCTCCATGGTTTTGCCCCTGCCCAGCTCCGTAATGACTCTGACTCCACAACCCTCCAATTTTTCTGTGCTCTTTCAATTCTGATTACTTGTACATCCCTAATTTTTAATGTTTCACCAATGATTACTGTTCCTTTTTGGCTCTTATGGCCATAGTCTGGAAATTCTTAAATTCCTGCCTTTCTACCTCCTTTTAAGACATACCTTAAATCCTACACTTTGGAGAATGTTTTCAGTCAGTTAGTATCTCCATTTGTGTTTGGTGTCAAAATTTGTTCATTAACATTCCATAATATGCACTGGCATTTTTTGCCTTATAATTTAGACATCTTAACAAATTGTTACTGCTTTGCCAACAATTTTAATTTTTATTTGGCTAAGTGATCTCATAACCAATCTAAGCTCTGCAATCCTGTCCTATCCAGTCATGAATGGTTTTGGACAATTAAAGACTTGTCAGGAGGGGCAGCTCCACATAACCTCATGCTCAACAATGGTGCATCAATGCAAAAGTCAAAACTGAATCTAATTAATTGACATCTCTAATGGTAGAGATCGCTGAAAGAAACTTGGAGGGTCTGCTCAACACGTTTGCTGAAGATGGCTTCAATCAGCCTTCTCTGAGTCAAGATTGACCCCTGGCTTGACTATTAAGTTTTATAGTGAAGAATCTACTAGGCCATGAGGTTACAGACGATGGTGGTATACAAATGAATGTGTATTTTAGCAGTTTTGAGCTGTCGGGTTAATTCTAAATTCATCCTATTTGACATGGTGTTAATGTCATCAAACTTGGCGAATGGTGTCCTAATACAAAAGCAGGATTTTTTATTCACATGGGGTCTATGGTGGTCACTCTTTCCAGAGCTTTTGTGGATCAATGGATTTGTGACGCATGGATTGATGGGAATAAGGTCATCTGGGATTTTCCCACATGACTGTTCTCACCCCCTGCTAAAGGGCCAGTTTGGCAGCTTTGTTCTGGAGTAAAAGTAACCTGGACTCTCAGGTTCTTGACTTTCTGACAGAAGTTCATTGCAGAGAAGTGTGAAATTACACACCTCAGTACAAAGAATATGAGCTGGGGTAAAACGAAGGGTGATATTCTAAAGGGTGTGCAAATAGTGAGACCTAGGTGCTCATATACATGTCATTAGAGGGAGCTGCTAATAAAACAAAATATTCTAGGCTTCATTAATGAGGCAAAAAGAGTATAGGAGCAGAAGGTTATGATGAACTTAAATAGGGCTCTATTTGGACCTCATTTTGGGGTATTTAGTAATATTTGAAACATCACACTAAGCATTGGAGGGGGTGCAGAATAGGTTTGAGTGGTTCCAGAGCTGAGATATTTTAGTTATGACATAAGCTTGGAGAAGTTGGACTGACTTCACTTCCTCGGCTTTCTAAGTTCTATCCTCCATGCACATCTGGCTTCTTAAGTGGTAGCAATAAATGATTGTGTTTGAGAGAGAGGAAATGTAGGCTTAAAAAGTTAGGAACGGAAAACACAGCAGCTATTGGATAACGATGCCCAGAATGGATAGGAAGGGACAGAGTTGGCAAACATGAAAATAGCAATAAGTAGGGTCAAAGAGGGAAAAATGGGAAATGCTGTACAGCTAGTGGATGAATTCAGAGCAATGATTGCATAATCTTAGATATGTGCCATTTTGGAATGAAATCAGGAAGAACTTTCTCAACAAAAAATAGAAGGAAGCAGAAATTCCCCCAATAAGCTGTGGATACCGAGTCTGCAGAAACAAGCCTGAGATGGATAGATTGATACTCGAGGATTAGCAAATTAAACCTACCAAACGTAGGTAAATAGAATTGAGGTGTGTATCAGCAATAGTCTAATTGAATGGCAGACGAAGCATGCTCAAGGTACTGAATAGTCATTTTTGTCCCAACAACACAAATTCAATTTCTGTACTGGCTGAGGTTGCCATAAGGTCGCCTTCTTAACTTTGCCTCTTGTCTGAGGCCTGGTGTCCCTAAGTTGTACTCACCGCTAGTTGTCACTCTGTAATGAAAGAGTAGCCTATGGATTCTGGTGACTTTCCTTTTCAGTTCCTGTGCCTAGACAATGGAAGCTCTTTCCTTCCATCCTGACGTACCTAATACTTGTGAATAGAGAGGGAAGTAAAAGGTAATTGTGTATTTGTAACTCCAATATCGTTGTTTCACAACTAGCTTTTTCTATCGATTTTGTCCATTTAGTTATCTCTATTCTGTTGTCACTTCTCTAAAATTCTCATTTTATTTATAAAGTTGTACTTTCCATAATGTACTTTTGTAGGTGTATGAATTGCTGCAAAGTCTCAACAAAGAAATTAAGCCAAACAGATTACTTGGCATCGTCCTGTGCACCAGAAACGATAACAGTCCTGTCAAACCCACAAAGTCCTCCTTCCTAGCATCTGGAGGCTAATGCCAAAATTTGAAAACTTTGCTCACAGACTAGCCAAGCAACAGCCTGACGTAGTCATACTCACAGAATCGTACCTTTTGGAGACCATGTTCCACACCATCACTGTCCCTAGATATGTTCTGTCCCACTGGCAGGACAGCCTCAGCAGATGTGGTGAAACAGTGGGTGGGAATTGCCCTGGGAGTCCTCAACATTGACTCTGGACACCATGAAGTGTCATGGCATCGGGTTAAGCGAGGACAAGAAAACCACCCTTTGCCGACGCATCATACTCCTCCGTGTCAAACATGCTTGGAGGAAGCACTGAGTGTGGCAAGGGTGCAAAATGTACTCTGAATGGGTGATTGCAGTGTCCAGCAGCAGTGCTACTGACTGAGCTAGTTGGGTACTAATGGACATAGCTGCTAGACTGGGTCTGTGACAAAAAGGAACAGCATAGTTGACCTCATCCTCATTGAACTGCCCACCGCAGATCTGTCTGTCCATGACAATATCGAGAAGAGTGACCATCGCACAGTTCTTACAGAGATGAAGTCCCACCTTCACATTTGAGAATACCTTTGAGTTGTGTGGTACTATCACTGCGTTAAATGGAATAGACTTCAAATAGACTTAGGAACTCGAGACTAGCAATCCATGAAGCACTGCAAGTCATCAGCAATCGAATCATACTCCCAACGCAATGTGCAACCTTATGACTGGGCATATTCCCCACTCCACCATTGCCATAAAGCCAGGGGTTCAAATCTCAACCTAGAATGTGGAAGGGCACATAAGGAGCAGCAACAAGTGTACTTAAAAATGAGGTGCCAACTTGAAGCTACCAAACAGGGCGGCTTGTGTACCAAACTGCTTAGCAGCAAATGATGGACAGAGCAAAGCGATCCCACATCATCAAAGTGTGTAAGAATCATAGGGATATACAGCACGGAGATGGACCCTTTGGTCCAACCTGTCCATGCCGACCAGATATCCTAAATAAATCGAAGTCTATTTGCTAGCATTTTCCCCATATCCCTCTAAATCTTTCCTTTTCATATACTGATCCAGATACCTGTTAAATGTTCTAATTGTACCAGTCTCCTCCACTTCCTCTGGTCGTTCATTCCATACACGCACCACCCTCTGCTTGAAAAAGTTGTTCCCTAGGTCCCTTCTAAATATTTCCCCTTTCACCTTAAACCTGTGGCCTCTAGTTTTGGACTCCCCTACCCTGGACAAAAGACCTTGACTATTCACCTATCCATGCCCCTCAGGATTTTATAAACTTCTATAAGGTCACACCTTAGCTTCCGAGGCTCGAAGGAACATAGCCCCAGCCTATTCAGTTTCTCCCTATAGCTCAAACCCTCCAACCCTGGCAACATCCTTGCAAATCTTTTCAGAACCTTTTCAAATTTCACAATATCCTTCCTATAGCAGAAAGATCAGAATTGTCTGCAGTATTCCAAAAGTGGCCAAGCAATGTCATGTACAGCTGCAACATGACCTCCCAACTCCAATACTGAATGCACTGACAAATAAAGGCAAGTGTACTGAATGCTGCCTTCTTTGCCCTAATTATCTGCAACTCCATTCGAGGAACTATGAATCTGCACTCCAAGGTCTCTTTGTTGGTATACAGACCTCAGGTCCTTACCATTAAGTGTATAAGTCCTGCTCTGATTTGCCTTACTTAAATGCAAGACCTCACATTTATCTAAATTAAACTCCATCTGCCACTCCTCGGCCCATCGGCTAATCTGGTCGAGGTCCCGTTGTATTCTGAGGTAACCATTAATTTTGGTGTCAGCTGCCAACTCATTTTCTATTCCTCCTATATTCACATTCAAACCGGTCATATAAATGACAAAAAGCGGTGAACCCAACACCAATCCTTGCAGCATACCACAGGTTCGAGGCCTCCAATTTGAAAAGCAGGCCTCCAATCTGAAAAGCAATCCTCCACCACCACCCTCTATCTCCTACCTTCGAGCTAACTTTGTCTCCAAATGGCTAGTTCTCCCTGTATTTCATGCATTCTAACCTTGTTAACCAGTCTGCCAGGCTAGGAATACTGCAGCAATAACTCTTCTCCAAAGCCGGTGAACCGTCTACAAGGCACATGTCAGGAGTGTGATGGAATGCTTCCCACTTGCCTGGTTGGGTTCAGCTCCAACAACAGTCAAGAAGTTTGATACCATCTAGGACAAAGCAGCCTGCTTGATTAACACCATGTGGATTAGTGTCTATTCCCTCACCCCCTGACGTTCAGTGTGTACTATCTACAAGCTGCACTGCAGAAATCTGCCAACTGGTCCAAATCCATGGCCAGTTCCACTTAGAAGGATATGGGCAGCAGATGCGTGGAAACGCAACCATCTCCAAGTTCCACTCCAAGCCACCTACCATCCTGGCTTGGAAATGTATCCGAGTTCCTTCAATGTCTCTGGGTCAAAATCCTTGAATTCCTTCCTAAGGACATTAGAGGTCTATCTACAGCACATGGACTGCAGCTTAAGAACAGACCTCGCCACAGTCTTTTCTGGGGCAACTAAGGGTGGTGTGATGATGCTGTGGCTTATACAGATTATTTAATCCTTTATTTTTGAAGATTGGTTTTAAGACAGATGGGTCGAACAGTCTACCAGAGTAAACAGCTTGTGAAGCCTTGGGTTTTTTTCAAAACATTGGAGCAATACAAGCAGCCTAAATGGGGGTGGTCAAGCTCCCATAGAACCAGGAGTTTTAGTTTTAGCTTTCAGCGGTTGCTGTTATGGTCTCGCAAATGTGGTAGCTACTCTTCCACCCCGCCACTTCACCATCTTAGTTACACCCAAAAGCAGGGAGTTCTCTTCCTGTTACTGGAGTTGCATGTGAGACAATCTGTTTTCTGAATTTGCCTTTTGCCAAAGATGTGTTTATGGGAGGTTATTATATTGGAACAGTTGATTGTAATTGTTACTGTATCTATTATTCTGCAAAATTTTCCAATACACTTAAGTTATTCTGATTCCCTCCTTCCTTTTGTTGTATTTTAACTATAGCAGATGAATAAAGTGTGTTTTGCTTTAACTCTGGTAGTTTGGCCAATCGAATTGCATCTAGAATGCATCATCTTACATTTATCTTTTAAAATAAGGAAACACTAGGGTCTAGATTATCTTCTGAATATTTTGAGGGGATTTAGACTGGTCCATAACAGAGGGCAATATGCTGGCCAGCCAGCGATGCCAATGTTCCATGAGTGAATAAAAAGAATTACCTTCAATTATACAGTGAAACTGTGGATAATAAATTGATTGTCTTCCTCTTTTGTTCCTTTCAGAGTTTCTGGTGCTCCCCCTTTATTTATGAACAGAGCAGAAGAAATAAAGTTTGCCTTTCAGTTAGTCAGTAGGAGTGATCTTTAATCTCGTTCCTTCCTGGTAACGAGGATTTAATTCTGGAATGATATTTTACATGATAGAACGAGGACCTTTAGCCCATTGTGTCTATGCCAGCTATTTCAAGGCGTCCAGTCTGTTTCTTTGCTATGCTTTGCCTTTCAAATGTTTATCATCTTCCCATTAAAAAGCTGTCATACATTCTGCTCTTATCACTGTCTCAGTCAGGTAATCTGTGTACTGGCAATCTTCTGCATCTAACAAAATTTGTCACAGCATCTCCCCATTTTTTAAAAAAATTTGTACTTATGCCATTTACATAGTGACTCTGATCAGTGAAAATAGTTGCCTTGTCAAAAAATAACTTCTATCCTATCTCCCCTTATTTTATGTTCTAGTCTGCCCTCTTAAATCTATTGCATTAATTACTTTTGTAGCTTATCTATGGCTCTGTTTTTTGAAAATTTTAAAAGTGCAATGCCTTAACTGTAGCATAACAAATGATTCATACACGTTTATGATAGAGATAGTAGGAACTGCCGATGCTGGAGTCTGAGGTAACAAAGTGTACAGCTGGATGAACGCAGCAGGCCGGGCAGCATCATAGGAGCAGGAAAGCTGACGTTTTGGGTCTGGACCCTTCAGAAGTGGGGGCGGGGAGGGGGACTCAAATAAATAGAGGGGGGGAGGCGATGATGGAAGGTAGATAGAGGAGCAGATAGGAGGAGAGAAGACGGACAGGTCAAGGACATGGGGATGAAGCTAGTAAAGGTGAGTGTAAGTAGGGAGTTGGGATGGAGGTTGGTCAGTGGGGAGGGAGGGGCGGGTAGGTGGGAGAAAAGATGAACAAGTCAAGGAGGCAGGGACGAGATGGGCTGGTCTTGGAATGAAGTCGGGGGAGGGGAGATTTTGAAGCTTGCGAAGTCCACATTGAGACCATTGGGCTGCAGGGTTCCCAAGCGGAATATGAGGTGCTGTTCCTCCAGCCTTCAGGTGGCATCGTCGTGGCACTGGAGGAGGCCCAGGATGGACATGTCGTCCAAGGAGTGGGAGGGGGAGTTGAAGGGTTCGCGACTGGGAGGTGTAGTCGTTTGTCACGAACAGAGCGTAGACGCTCCACAAAGCGGTCTCCAACCCTCTGCTTGGTTTCCCCGATGTAGAGGAGGCCACATCGGGAACAGCAGATACAATATACCATATTAGCAGATGTACAGGTGAGCATCTGTTTAATGTGGAAGGTTTTCTTGGGGCCTGGGATGGAGGTGAGGGGGGAGGTGTAGGGGTAGGTGTAGCACTTCCTGTGGTTGTATGGAAAAGTGCCAGGGGTGGTGGGGCTAGTGGGGAGTGTGGAGCAGATGAGGGAGTCACGGAGAGAGCGGTTCCTCCGGAAGACAGATAAGGGTGGGTAGGGAAAAATGTCCTTGGCAGTGGGGTCAAATGTCCGGCAGTGGCAGAGAATGATGCGTTGAATCTGGAGGTTGATAGGGTGATACGTGAGGACAAGGGGAATTCTGTCTTTGTTGTTATTGTGGGGAGGGGTGTGAGGGCTGAGGTGCGGGAAACGTGAGAGATGAGGTCAACGGCATTTTCGACCACTGTGGAGGGGAAGTTGTGGTCCTTGAAAAACGAGGACATTCATACACATTTAGTTTTATTTGCTCTTGTACAGGTTTATGAAATCTGAGATCTCTAGATTTTACTCACTTTCCATTGACCTGTTCTTTCACTTTTAACACTGTATCTGAGCCTTGATTATCTCTAAAACATAATGGAATCTAACATTGTTGAATTGCCTCCTTTCAAGTTCACTTTTAAATCTTCAGTCAAATGTGCAGAGTACTGGGAATACCGCATTATCAGTCTTCATGTTAAGCTAAAAGATTTACTCTGGTAAAATGTGCATTTGAAATATTTGTTTATTTGATTATACTTCTGACCCAATGGATGGACTTGAAATTAATTGTCCTGTAATTGTGCTTTTTAACATATTTGGAGTTTGAGTATTAATGTATTTGGATGATTCCTGTAAGAAATAGCACCAGTCTTCAGGCCATTGTCAAACGGGTTTTCATAGGAACATAGCATTCGATTTTAACCACCTTCTTATTAACTAGAACTTAAACCAGTAATTCTTTACATGGGAACCTCCATAAACTGTCAGGGAGTGGAAGTATGGAAGAAATACGGAAGAACATATTTTGGCTGTTGCTGCACCACATTGTGTGTGTTGAGAGGTTAATTTACAAGTGCCAACTCACCACACCCATGTACAAATATCTAACATCATTGCATCTCAAATGTAAAACTTTTGGTTAATTGGCAGATCATAAATATTTTGCTGCTGAGTGGTGACTGTATTGCTTCATCGTAATTGAATAAATACTTCAGCTGTGTCTGTATCTTTTGTTGCAACAGATTGACAGGTTGTATGACTGGAAAAAAAGTCCTGATACCGATGTAGTTGCCACGTTAAAGAAGCAAAAGAAGAACACAAAAGATGAATTTGACGAGAGAGCTAAATCCACTATTGTGGAATTTGCACAACAGGTTTTGTGACCTTTTCTGTTATGTATTATGTTTTAAAAACCGAGTGGCAGGGGTTGGCATGTGGAATAGGTGGAAAATTTCAGTTCGTGTTCAGAATATGCTTTGAGCCAAGTTGTGATGTCTTTCATTCACTCAATGATACTGCAGAGAAAATGGCTAGTCAGTCAGTCAGGAACGCATCAGCTCTTCGGGGAACTATCCTACTAATTCCACGCTGCTGATGATATGGCCTGTCCACTTTTTTTTACTAGCAGATGTTTATACAATAATCTTTTGTGTGTTACTGTTGAATCTGTTTTCATGATCTTTTTAGGCAGTGCATTTCGTTCATGTCAACTCCGTATTTAAAGGAACAGTTTCTATTTGCTGTCTCTAGATCTTCTGCCAGTCACCTTAAATCTGTGTTTTGTATTTGCTGACCCTTCCTCCCACTGAAAACTATTTCCTAATTTACCAAAACCATTCATGTTTTTAAACATTCTTCTCTTAGATTCCAAACCCTGCTGTAAGAATAAGATCATAAGAAGTAGGAACAGTAGTTGGCTGTTTGGCCCCTTGAGTCTGCTCTGCCACTCCAAAAGATTGTAGCTGATGTGACATTCCTCATATCCACCTTCCTGCTCTTCCTCCATAATTGTTGATTCCTCTACTAATCTAGAATCTTTTTGTCCCAGCCTTAGCCTTAAGTATAGGACCTGCGACGTTACACTCATCCCCATCATCCTGAGACGGTGCCATCTGGTCCTAGTCTCTCCCATGAGGGAATCATCATCTTAGCATTTACTCTGCCAAGCCTGTTAAGAATCCTATATGTTTCAATGCGATTACTTCCCATTCATCTACATTCCAGTTACCTGTTTTTTTGCCTGCCTCCCATTTTGAATAGGGGCATCACGCTGACAGTTTTCCAATTCCCTGGTACATCTCCAGAGTCCAAGGAATTTTGGAGAATTACAACTAATGCATCTACTATCCAAGTAGCTAGTTCTTTTAGGACCCTAGGATGCAACTGTCGACATCAGTGCACTTATCTGCCTTTAGCCCCATTAGTTTATCCAGTGCTACGTCTCTAGTGATCGTGATGGTACTTAATTCCTCACCCATATTCTTTAGCATTAACGAGATGTTCAAAGTACCTTGCATCAGCCTTAACAGTGGAAAATATCCATTTAACTGCTCTACTATTTCCTTCTTAATTATCTTCAAATTCAATTTCTAGGGGACCTATGTTTACTTTGACCTCTCTCTTTATATATTTAAAGAAGTTCTTATTGTCAGTTTTTATATTCTTTGCAAGTATGACCTCATGGTTTATGTTCCCTATCTTTATTATCTTTTTAATCCTCCTTTGCTGGATTGTAAAATTATCCCAGTCTTCAGGGCTAACACTGAATTTTGTCCCCTTTATATATGTTTCTTTTTCTTTCAACTTGAAACTCTGAACATCCTTGCTCAGCCATGATTAGTTTATTCCTCGCTTAGAATTTTTCTTCCTAGCTGGGATGTATTTTTGGTGACAGTCATGAATTACCTCCTTAAATATCTGCCACTAATTGCTTAATCTCAGCTTCTCCACTCTCCACATAACTGATGCCCCTCATCCCATGCTAATAAATTTCTACTTCATCTTCAGGGCATTGATATCCTTCTGAAATTACACTGCCAGAGTTGTATACTGTTCCAACTGAGGTCCAAGCTGATTTTATAAAAAGTTTAGAATTTCCTTTCTTCCCCCAACGTGATGCCTCTGCCAATACAGCCAAAATTTCCATATCTTTATTAGTCCTGCCAGCTGCAGAAATTTGTGTACATGGGCCTCAGGTCTTTCCTCTTGCAGCCTCTTCAAAATCATAACACGAATAGTCTCTCCTCATGTTTCTTGCCAAAATATATAATTTTAAAAAACTCTGCATTAAATTTGCCATTTAAAACATATATGCCCAGACATATAAAATAGAGCAATACTTCTTTAGAACACCATTGCATAATTTCCTCCAGTCTGGAAAAAAAACAGCTGTTCACAAATATAACAGAAAGTGCTGGTGAAACCAAGCAGGTCTAGTAGCATCTGTGGAGCAAAGCACAGATGTAACATTTTGAGTCTGATCTGACTCTCCTTTCGAGCTTCTGCTCTGAAGAGCTTGTACTAGACTCAAAACATTAACTCTGTTTCTCTCTCTACAGATGCAGTTAAACCTGCTGAGTTTCTCCAGTGTTCTGTGTTTACTAAACACAGTTTCTGCTTCTAGTATGGTATCTTTCTGCCTTATGCTGTTTTCTCTTTAATCCCTTGATATTTTGTCTCTAAAATGGACTGTGCAGGGAAAGGATGTATTTCAACAACTGACCTAACTTACTTTCAGCAGCTTCTCCCAGCCTGTGACCTTAACTACAAGACGAGAGTGACATCATCTTGGGATGGTGATTATCTCTTAGTTCCCCTTAATTGCAAGCTAACCTTGTCTTGAAAATCATTCCTTATGACTAATCTAAATCCTAAAATTCCTTGCCTAAACAGATTGAAAGCCAAGGTTGTGAAGTTCAAGAAGGTGGCTATTACAACCATTGAGTGATTGAAGGATGGGAAATGTGACTTTCGCAGTGTTCACTGTATCCGGAGAGATTTTAAAAAATCAACATGTCTAATGAGCAATGCCTTGAGAGTTTCACAAATATTGGAAGTGATTGGTTTTTATCTGTGTGCCAACTTTACATACTGTAATTGATAGAGTGGAAAGTTTCTAACTTAATGATTAAACTACTTAAAGTTCACACTCTTATCTTTACATTGCTAATGGGTTAAATGCATCATTTTTAGGGCCTGAATGCTGCTCTATTCTTTGAGAACAAAGACCCACGTACATTTGTGTCATTGGTTCCTACATCAGCTCACACTGGTGATGGCATGGGAAATCTTATTGCAATGCTGGTGGAACTAACCCAGACTATGCTTGCTAAGAGACTAGCATATTCTATGGAGCTGAGAGCTCAAGTTATGGAGGTAAGTACTCCTGATCAGTTGTAATTTGGTAATTTCCAGTAATTTATAGTTCATCTTAGAAAACATTCCACAGCAGTGTATTTCTAACTTTGATGATAAATAGTAGATTTAAAAAAAACAAAGGAGTGACCTTCCTTTCCTTGCCAAACTATCTCAGCTGTCAAGTGTCTTGCTTGATGCAATGACCACTCATCTGCAAACTTAAAGTTTACATTAGAAGACTGTATATGTGGAATGACAACCTACCTGATGCCTGTTGCTGGGTCAAAATCCTGGAATTCCCTCCCTAATGGCATTGTGGGTCAACCCACAGCAGATGGACTGCAGCGGTTCAAGAAGGCAGCTCACCACCACCACCTCAAGGGCAGCTGGGGACAGGCAATAAATGCTGGCTAATCAGTGACGCCCACATGACATAAATGAATAATTTTCTTTGTTAAAAAATCCCATTTTTGCATAGTCACTGTTGGCAGACGTGTCTCACTGAAGAGGTTATTAGGTAGCTGTCAAGAATAAAAACCTTGTTTCCCATATTTTTTCCTGGATCCCCTTTTTCCTGGTCTCGTTTGAGAGACCAATTTTAGTGTTCTGATTATTGTCTCAGTTGAATCACCATGGATCAGGTATTGAATCAGTTATCTTGCTGGTGTATGTGGTGTGATAGCACAAAATAAGCTTTCAGGAAAGTTCGGCGTAATTCTTTTCCATATTACTTATTTTGTTACATTTTAGAATCTTTTACATGTTTGCTTTTTTAGTTGGTTGATTTAAATGCACAGTAAAGAGCAGTAATGATTATCACCAGCTATCAATGTTGGCTCAGTGATAACATTCTCAAATAAGTCCACAGGTTGTGGATTCAACCATCACCCTAGAGCTTTCAGGAAATAATCCGAGTTGGAACTTCAGTATAGTAATGAAGGAAGATTCCACTATTGGAAGTGGCATCATTCAGATTGTGCTATCAATTGAGACCCGGTTTTCTTGTTATTTGAGGAGTCTGAAGTTTTCCTGATTTCCTATGCAATGTTTATCACTCCTACATTATTAAAACATTTTAGCTGGTTATTTGTACAAATGGTGTTTATGAGATCTTTACTCAGCAAATTGGCGGAGGTGTTTTTATATGTTACGACAGTGACTGCAACTCAAAATACTTGGCAAGTTTTGCGGCAGCTTTGTGTATTTTCTTTATTTTGCTTTTTGTGTGGGGAAACTCATTTTTGATCAGTGTTAAATGCGTTTTATGTTGACCCTATATTTCTGAAAGGGTCTACGAAGCTGCTGGGTCTCCTTATCCAACTGTTCAATCCAGTGAAATTGGAATTTTGCATTACAAAATTAATGAAGGCAATTAATGAAGATTAATAGCTAAACAGCAATATTCCGTGTTGTCCCTGTAATCTGCAAATAAAGTTGACAGATGGAAGCTACATGTTCAAGTGTTCTGTTCACTTTCTTTTGTTTCTCAGCATTACAGCGTCACTGGCTTGGCCTGCATTTATTTCCTGCCCTAATTTGTACATGAGAAAGCAGTGGTGAGCTATCCCCTTGAACTACAGCAGTTCATGTGGTGTAGGTACACCCACAGTGCTGTTAGGAAAGGAGATGCTGCATTTTCATTCAGCAACAGTGAAGAAATGGTGATATGGTCAAGATGGTATTTGGCTTGGATTAGAACTTGCATTTGAGGGTTTTCCCATACATCTGCCCTTGGTCTTGTATTTAATAGAGGTTGCAGGTTTAAAAGTTGCCTTGGTTAGCTGTTGCATTGTGACTTTCAAAAGTTGCATTGTGCCTGAACCCCTGGGTGTCTCTGTTTGACAACAGTATCCAGGGCCATACTGTTAACTGTATAAGCCCTGTCCTGTTTGTTTTGCCAACATGCAATACCTCGCATTTATCCAAATTAAACTCCACCTGCCGCTCCTCAGCCCATTGGCCCAATTGATCAAGATCTCTTTGTAATCTCAGATAATCTTCTTCACTGTCAACTATACCACCAATTCTGGTGTCATCTGCAAGTTTACTAACCATGCCTTCTAAATTCTCATCCAAATTGTTTATATAAATGACAAACAACAGTCGATCCAGCACCGAAACCTGCGGAACACCACTGGTCACAGGCCCCCAATCCAAAAAGCAACCCTCCACAACCACACTGCCTTACTACTCTGTCCTCATTAGTCTTTTTGGTTATATCGTCAAAAAACGTTAGTGAGAATCTATTTTCCCATGCACAAAACCATGCTGATTATCCCTAGTCAGTTCTTGCCTCCCCAAACATATGTAAATCCTATCTCTCGGAATCCCCTCCAATTTATCCACCATTGATGTCAGACTCACCATTCTATAGATCCCAGGCTTCCCCTTACAGCCTTTCTTAAATAAAGGCACAACATTAGCCCCCTTGCAGTCCTTCAATACCTCACCCGTGGCCGTAGATGAAGTAAATATCTCAGGTAGGGGTCCTGCAATTTCTTCGCTAACTTTCCCGTCACATCCAGGTCGACAGAGTAGTTAGATGGTGTTTAGCTTGCTTGCTATCAATAATCAGAGCATTGAATATGAGTTGGGACGTCATGTGTAGTTGTACAGGACATTGGTGAAGCCACTTTTGTAATACTGTGTACAGTTTTGGTCATGCTGTTATATTTTCTCTAGGATATTATTAAATTAGATAGGATGCAGAAAAGATTTACCAGCATGTTACAGGGTCTCGAGGGTTTGAGTTGTAAGGAGAGGCTGGATAGGCTGGGACTTTTTCACTGGAACGTAGGAGGTTGAGGGGGTAAACTTTATAGAGGCTCATAAAATCATGAGGGGCATAGATAAGGTGAATAGCAAAGGTCTTTTCCCTAGGATGGAGGAGTTCAAAACTAGAGCAATATTTAAAGGGGCGTGCTGAGTTTCTCCAGCAGCTTCTGTTTTTTGTTTCAGATCTCCAGTTCTTTGTTTCATTTCACTGTTCTTAATTATTTTGGAAGAGGTGCAGTGAGAGGATGTTATCAGGGCACCAGAACATCCTGTTCATTTTCAAAAGATGTCAGAAGGTTTTATTGATGTCTACCTGAATGAACGGTTATGTTCTCGATTTTAAACATCTGCTGGAAAATGGCACTTTCAACCATGCAAAATCTGTTTTGAACTATTAATGCTCAATGAAGTGTATTGAACAATTATTATAGGCATGTGCTCAAATCATATAAAGGTCTGGATCTGTGCTCTTCAGGCATGTGTGTATTGGCAACTGAACAATATTGATGCATGTCTTCAATAAGATGTTAACCAGATCCAGCTCACACTGTTGGTGCTTATGTCTAAGCAGATAACCAGAGATGACAAAACACCAGGTGACTGCTCATGTTCATAGAACTATATGGCATTGTGACTCAGCAGTATCTGAAAAAAGGAGCCAAAGCAAAAGAAATGACCCAACCCAGAGGTTATGACTGTAACCTCAAATTATATTTTGCAACAGTAAATTTAAGTCTTTTGTCTGAATACTTTCCAGGTAAAAGCACTTCCTGGAATGGGAACGACTATTGATGTGATTCTAATCAATGGAAATATGAAGGAAGGAGATACTATTATTGTTCCTGGAGTTGAAGGTCCTATAGTTACACAGATCAGAGGTCTTCTATTACCACCACCTCTCAAAGAGCTGAGAGTAAAGGTATGGAGCTTTACTTTTTATGGAAAGTAATGCTATGTTATAAAAAATGTTCATGTTTTACCAAGTCTGTAGGTATTATGATAAAACTTAGTTATGTTAATCTTGTATGGCTTTTATGATCACTTTATGCTGTCAAAAAGTTGCAGTGCTATGTCTGTCAGTGTCTCTCCTAATACTGCCCCATTCATCAAATAATCAAACTTCATATTGCATTTTTGAAAATCTGTCAAAATAATATTCAGTCAACTATTTTTGTATTAGTGGAACTGGAAACAGTGTCCACATTTGTGTGAACTGAATGCTTGTGACTTTGGAACTAATTAATTTGTGAGGCTAAACGACTGAGCAACTTTCTCTTCTGATATTTAATGAATAACAAACACTTAGTGAAATCTCTTAACTTGATTGTGTGCAATTAAACCTGAGGGACATAGTTACAACATACGGTTTGGTAACTCACTCAGAGGGATACATGTGCATTGGTCATGACTGGGACAGGAGATGCAGGACTAATCATAAAAATGAACTATGAAAAAATAGAGAATGTTAATCTCCAGAGAACTATTGAAAAAAAGAGTTGAGGGAATCTTTGCTAAAGATCGTAAAGTATTACAGTGGATAAATAAATTGAATTCTCTACCCCAAAGGGCTGTGGAAGCTGAATCGTTAAGCATGTTCAAGGCACCATTCGATAGATTACTGGACATCAAGGAACATGGAGATAGTGTGGGAAAGTAGCATTGAGGTAGATAATTAGTCATGATCTAACTGAATGGGAGAGCAGGCTCAATGGACCTGATCCTGTGTAATTCTGGCAAATAATTTAAATCAAGTCAATTGGATAAGAGAATGTGAATTTCAATACAAGTAAAGTTTTACATGAAAATACAGGAAAAATATTGAAATAGTGTAACAGCTAATATAACAGAGTCAAGCACGGGACTTTCAAAATGCACTTGACAAAGTGAGTTGAGTACTAACTAGATGAAATTTGGTCAAAGTTTTTGGCTTCATGTTCTCATTTCACCTATATAGATACAGCAATATTAAAAGAATTTACTTAATGGTGCAAAACTGATGTTTCTGGAAATAAGCATATTGGACTGTTCCTATTTCTTATGGTTCTGTAATTTTCATTACCACATGTTGAGAATATGATATGTTTGTTGTACACTATTTTAGTGTGAGAATTTTCTTTGTGTTACTGGTGAAATATTTTACTGAAGAGATCCACATGTTAGTGAATTAAATTTACCCCTCTTATATGAGAATAAAATTTGCCTCTGAGCTTATTGTGCGTTCAATAAGGTCACAGCTGACCATCTACTTCAACTCCTGTTTTTATAAAGCATACTCGTATTTCTTCATCCTCTCTGTATCAAAAAATCAACTGCTTTCTGTTTTGAGCATACTCAACAACTGTGCTTCCACAACCCTCTATGATAGAGAATTCAGAATATTTTGGAGAACATGCCTTGACTTGATACCAAAACAAGAAATTAAACTGAATTTGAGTTTTTCTGTTAGCATTATTGAGCTAGCTGACTTCAGTCTGCGTGGTTATTAGTCATGTCAGAGAGGGGAAAATCAGACAGCATTCTTGTACCTGATTGCTACCTTCTATCCTTTCTGAAAATGAACTGAAATTTTTTTTTTTGGTTAATTTGACTGACAATCATTATGAAGAAATGAGCAGATAGTTTGTGTGTGACTAAAACAAAATGTCATCGCTTTTGTTGCCTACCATTGCCACAATCCAAAAGTGGGCAGCACCGTGGCTTAGTGGTTAGCACTGTTGCCTCACAGCATGAGGGATCTAGGTTTGATTCCCACCTTGGGTGACTGTCTATGTGGAGATTGCGTATTCTCCCCATGTCTGCATGGGTTTCCTCCGTGTCCTCCGGTTTCCTCCTACAGGGAGATATGCAGAATAGGTAGATTGGCCATGCTAAATTGCCCTGTGGTGTCCAAGAATGTGCAGGCTAAGTGGATACTAGCCATGGTAATTGGGGAGTTATTGGGATTAGTTTGGGGACTGGGTCTGGGTGGAATGCTGTTTGGAAGGTCGGTGCGCACAGTGGGCCAAATGACCTCTTTCTGCATTGTAGGGGTTTTGATTCTAATGGCTGCATGAAAAAGAATAGAATTTGTAATGACATTTTGGCTTTATGATGATTTTAATGTGTTTCTTTCTTTTCAGAATCAGTATGAGAAACAAAAGGAAGTCTGGGCTGCACAAGGTGTGAAAATTCTTGCCAAAGATCTGGAGAAATCTCTTGCAGGTCTACCACTACTAATAGCCCACAAGGATGATGAAATTGCAGTTCTAAAGGTTTGAATTTTTGTGTGAAAGCATTATCAGTGTATGAAACTTTGTCTAGACTCTTGGGAACGGTGGTTGCGTCTTTACCTCTGAAGTAGGAAGCTTGTGTTCCAGGCCCTCCTGCCCCGGGAGGTGTGTCGTAATATGTCTGAACAGGTTAATTAAAAATACTTAATTGTAAATGTTAAGAATTGCTGAAGTCCCTTGAAAATTGTATTGCTGCCTGTGTGTTATTGATTGTTTTCGTAGATCCTCAGAACTCTAATAATGCGTTGCTTAAAATTAAGTTTCTGTAATCATATAAGCATAAGTTCAATAATTTACTATCAATGAATAAATTTCTCTATATAATAGTATTCGAAATCTGTGCCATTTTCTTCCACAATTGTTTTCTGTATTGTTTTAAAATCCTGATTGTTAGAAGTGATATTCATCCAGATTAGAAGTCAGACTGAAGAAGATTCTCTTTAAAACACCTGCCTCAATACTTGCTGACTTTCCTGTATTAACGTAACCAACTGTATAGTCTACTTTTGGTTATGCTTGAGTTCTTGAGCATTCTGTGTAGTAACTGCTAAACTGTTATTCAGAATCAGATGCATAATTTCACTAAATGAGCTGTACATTTTTTATTTTTGTGAATTCTGAGTTTATTTTAAGATTAAAAGGTATTTAATGGAAAGTTCCCCACTGCATATTATGTGGTTTTAAATTTAGCATTTTGTGTCTGGGTCCTTGTTTAGCGTTATCTTGTGAACATTGTGTTGATGCTGGTGTAAAGTTGAGAATCAATTTGCATAACCAGTATGGCGCAGATTTTGGAGAAATGAGATCAATATGTAGTGTGTCTGGAAATGTATTTTTTTTATAATTGTAATTGTCCTTCCCTGCTATTGTATCTGCCTGCTTTTATCTTTAAAAGTCACATAATATGTTCAATATCAAGTTTGAAGATGTGTCCATAATGTAATTTGAAATCTTGTCATGCTATTGTTGGTAGGATGAACTTGACCACGAACTAAAGCAGACATTGAATTCTATTAAACTTGAGGAGAAGGGTGTCTATGTACAAGCCTCTACATTGGGCTCCTTGGAAGCTCTCTTAGAATATCTTCGGGCCTCAAGTGTGCCAGTAAGTATTGTCGCGTGAAATTTCTACTGTTATTTGTTTGAATTACCTTAAATATAAAACTAAATCTGTCCTCTTCCTTCTGTCATAGTATGCTGGAATTAACATTGGACCTGTGCATAAGAAAGATGTAATGAAAGCTTCAGCGATGCTCGAACACGATCCTCAGTAAGTTCTAAACACATCTGTTGTAATAATCCAAACTTCTTTTTACATAAAGAAACTGTTGCCTCATGTTGATTTATTTAAAGTGTAGTGCGAAGTTCTGAAATTTGAAACCTTTTTAACTAGTCATTGTTCTACTATGTAAAAAGTTTTTTACTGTGGGAGTTCCAGTGGCACGACTGTAGAAATCCAAAGCTCACGCTGTCACTGCCCCTTAAACCATTCTTTACTGCCAAATTTTTCTGGTTGCCAGAACAAGGAGCTCTGCTAGAAGAGTTTACATTGTAACATAAGGAGCAGGAGGAGGCCGTCTGGCTCTTCAAACATGCTCCACCATTCAGTATGATTAAGGCTGATCCTTGACTTCAGTACCTGTTCATTTCCTGTCATAACTCCTCAGAAAATTTCTAATAAGCTATACAGGCTAGATGTTGGGAAGTCTGGAACAAGGCGTTAACAGTTTCAGGATAGGTGTAGGCGTTTAAGACTGAAATGAGAAATATCTTCACTTGGAGGGTGGTCAATCTGTGGAATTTACGACCGAATCACTGATGCCAGATCACTGAGTATTTTCAAGAAAAAGATTGCAAGTTTTTTAGATTATAAGGGCATAATGGGATATGGAGAGAAAGGGGAATTTGGCTTTGAAATGGAGAATTAGTCATGATGATATTGAATGATAGAGCAGTCTGAAAGGGCTGAATGGCCTGCTCCTGTTCCTGGCTTGTGTTTACATCTATTCAAGCATTATCGTTGACATGAGCAATAGCTCTTGCAGGGAGATACTAAGAACTGCTGATGCTGGAATCAGAGATAAGTGTGGAACTGGAGGAACACAGCAGGCCAGGCAGCATCAGAGGAGCAGGAAAGTTGAGTTTATGATCGGGACCCTTCTTCAGCTGAAACATTAACTTTTCTGCTCCTCTGATGCTGTCTGGTCTGCTGTGTTCCTCCAGCTCCACACTGCGTTAGCTCTAATAGGGAGCTGTTTTGTCAGCTTGGTTTTACATCTTAAAATTACCATTAATGTTTTTCCATCAAGCATGTTGTGAAGTTTGATTTGTCATCATCACTAGAACTGTTTTTGAACACCTCAATTCCACAGTTTGGCTCTGGGCATATTGAAATTTATAGGTGCTTCATCCTTATTGCTGATATGACTTATTTGATCCTCATTTTTGCTGCTGTCTGATAAATCATTTGAAAGTAGAAGTTTGGGGATCAATGTCACTTGGTTGTCTGAGTATGCTTGGTCTTTTGCTACAATACTAGACTTGTGCCTTCCGTAAAGTGGCTGCACTAACTAACTATTGGGCGAAACTTTCCTATACCCTGAAAAACATGGGAATTGATGAGTCTGTATGGCAAGTACAAAAAAAAAAATTCTTGACATACAAAGGAAGCGTCCAATTTTCCATCCGAGGTTTCAATGGCTGGATGCAAATCTCACTCATGTATGGTGAAGGGCCTATTTACATGTATTAACATTTTATTTGTACGCAAGTTGTTATTTTCCCAGGTAGTGGCAAAAAATTAGATGGTGATGATCCCAACTTGAAAGTCGGAGTTGATACCTGGTGGCTCCAGGTCATTTGCCCAGCACTGCTCAACACATTTGGGCATGTGCCATGAGCAGTGACTGCCAGCGAGATTGGTAATAAACACAATAATGACACATCTGAGTCAGCTGTAATAGTTCACCAGCTCAATACTGCACTTTGGAGTGCACTGACACTTTCACGTTGTTGCCAGGGCACGCTGTGCAGGGACATCTAGTGTTTTGGAACAGGGTGCATATCAGGGCTTTTAACTTTCTCTCTTAGTGTTCAATCGCTTTTACCTATCCTGGATGCTCACAGCATCACTGCCTTGCCTTTTTGTGCATTACTGCCTCACTCAGATCGTCAAGGCTAAAAGTACTCTTGCCTTGCCTTTCCTTTTAATGCAGACACAAAACTGGGCAGCAATCATGTTTGGCAGATGTGATTAGTTGCAGTGTTGGGAGTTGAAGATTTGTATGTTATGATCTGGAGAGTAGGCCACTATCAGTTATGCCAGTCCAGGGATTTGCAGTCAGTCCGTTGGGGACCGGCACAGAAGTTAATCAGGAGTCTTGTCAGTCATCAAATGGGAATGTCCTTCCAAGTCAGACCATTGGAATGGGCCACCACCAGCACTGCAGGTCTGTTCACTGAAAGTCAAGCGAGGTTTCAGCAGCGACTGCAATGATGGGTAAGTTGAGGAAGTCAATTGTGGGGATTACAGACAACAGAATAGGATGCAACATAGGCATTAGTTGGGAATAGGAACTATTTCTCATAAGGTTAAGAGGTGATATAGCATCCTAAGGCACAGATTAGTGCAAGGCTGGACATTAATTGATCACACCCTCTGGCTTTAATAGTGGGAAACAGTGCAAAACACTTCAGCGTAGCTAAACAGTAGGCATGTAGTTTATGGAATGGGGTATGCGTTTCAGTTTTTTCTGTAAAGTCCTGCTGCAATCACCAGATTTGTTTCTGCTCTCACTCTCGTGCTAGCTGTTGCTCCTCGTCTCACTTTCTCACTCTGATGAAACCATTCTGTCAGTATTTACCATGTCAAGCCCCTTTTGAACCTGACATGTTTCTTTGGGTAGACTCCCAACCATTTAGGTTTTGCTCAAACGACAGTCCCTCCATACCAGAGATTGTCCTAGTGAACTTTCTCCGAAATGTTTCAAATGAAATGATATCTTTCCGTCAATAAGGGGACCAAAACTGCTCTCGGCACTGCAGATGTGATCTCATCGGCACTTTGTACAGTTGCAGTAAGGCTTCCCTACTCTTGCATTCCGAACCCCTTGTAATAAGGGCCAACATTTCATTAAGCTTTCTTGATTACCTTCTGCATCTATGTGCGACCTTTCTACATTTAATTCATAAGCGCTCCCAGGTCCCTTTTTATGTTGCAGCTGTCTGCAGTTTTTCTCCATTTAAATAATACTCTGTGCTTTTGTTCTCCTTTCCCAAATGAACAACTTCACATTTTACCGTTTGCCAACTTATGTAACCTATCAGTCTTTCTCTGTACACTGTATCTCTTACAACCTGCCTAAACATCTATTTGTTGTCTGCAAATTTGACTACAGTGCATTTGGTTTCTTCAAGTCACAATCTGTTCTACTCACCTCTCCTCCCCTTTGTCAATAGCGTAATGTTCATCTTTTACCAGCATATTTTAGTTCTGAGAAAAGAGCCATCCATTCATTTAACGGAAAACAGCTACAGAAGCACATTATTTCTCATTTGATTGTATTTCTTAACAGTATTCTGAGAAGTTAGCCATCCTAGGTATAGTCTCTTGATTGGATGGAAACCTTAACCTCTTAGCCATCTTAATAGTTGCACAATCTTTGGAGATCGATGTAGCTAGCCATCTTAGAAAAAGTATGTTTTTGCCTCAGCTGAATTCTTCCTATCCCATATATAGCATACATTTCATTTTACTGCAAAACCACTGAAATCAACTTTTCTAGCCTTCGGATGCAAATTTGCAGAAGAGTTAAAAGATTGATCATACGTTCATACAGGATAGAAGAGGCCCTTCAGCTCATTGATCTTGTACTGCCAAAAATACTCCACTACTTACACTCGTCCCATAGCCTTGAATGTTATGATACTTCACATGCCCACATCCTTTGAAAAGGTTGTGAGGTTACCTACCTCAAATACCCTCCCACGCAGTGCATTGCAGAGCCACCACTACCCTTTGGTGAAATGTTTTACTGAAATCCCCTGTCAACCTCCTACCTTTACTTTAAAAGTGTGCTCCCTCGTTCTTTTCCTTTTTGACTAAGGGAAACAGCTGCTTTCTTCCCTGCCTGTCCATGTCCCTCATAATCTTATACACCTCTACCATATCCCCTGTCAGCTTTCTCTGCTTCAAAGAAAACAGCCCAAGCTTATCCAGTCTCTATTCATAGCTGAAATGCTCCATTACAGGCAACATCCTGGTGAATCTCCTCTGTACCCCACCCCCTGCAGTGTAATCACATCCATCCTACAGTGTGGTAACCAGAAATGCGCACAGAATTCCAGTTGTGACCTAACCAAAGTCTTGTACAGCTCCAACGTAACCTCTCTGCTCCTATAATCTATGCATTGACTGATTTAAAGGCAAGTGTCCCGTATATCTTCTCTAATAATCTGTCCCACCACCTTCGGGAATGGATATTTTTGCAGTGAAGTATGGTTACTTACATTAGAAATTGACTTGTGCTAATCTAATTGCGCACCAAAACACAAGTGCAACCAGTTTAATTACAGTTATAAAGTCAGGTTTGTAAGGCCTAAAATTGGAAGCCTCATTCCGTTTTGGACATCATGTAGGAAGTGTTCTGCTGATATTTTCTTGTGGTTTTATCTGCGAGAAAGGAATTTAACTTTAAGAAACTGTTGTGTTTCTTTAAGATTGTACTTGTGATTAAAATTGTGATTAACAAACAGGAAATTGACAAAGTAGAAGGAAGAAGGTTCCTCACTTTAAAATAGGGCCACTTAAGCTTTGAATCAAAGCAAAGTTTCATTAAAGGACATCCAGGACATTGTTTCCCCATACAGTTAAAAATTGTGATACAATCTTCCTTGAGGTTTTTGAGAGAAGAATAAGGGTACTGATGGATAGAGGGAGAGGACAAAAAAAACACAACATCCATGTCTAACAAAGTGGTCGAATAGGCTTCAAGATGTAGGTTCCTTCTATAGTAAAATTTAGGTTTATGTACTGCAACAATTTCCGATTTTCAATATTGAATAATGTAATGTTCTGAAGTAACTTCTTCATCCCATTTTTATAGATTTTCAGTTATCCTTGCTTTTGATGTGAAGGTTGAGCGAGATTCCCAGGAGCTTGCTGATACACTTGGGGTCAGGATCTTCAGTGCAGAAATTATCTACCATTTATTTGATGCTTTCACAAAATACAGACAAGATTACAAAAGACAAAAGCAAGAAGAATTCAAGTAAGTTCACTACTTGAATAACTATTTGGGATTATATGCGCATTGCTATTTAACTTCTACAAAACGTATAGAGACTCTAATAGTTTTTGGTGACTTCTATTGACAGGAGCTTTTTTTTTTTTTTTTCGAAAACTCAGTTACATGACTGCATTTCCAAAAAAAAAAAAAAAAATTACGAAATGTTATACATGTTCTTTTACTGGGGTGCTCACTTCTATGTAAGTACAATCATGAATGATTGGAACAACTGGCTCTGCAGACATGGACTTAATTGAACTGAAACAACAGGTAGGATCTCAGAAACGCCTTGAAGTAGCAGGCCTGGCAACATCTGTGGAGTGGGCAGTAGTTAATGAAATACTCTTCTGATGAAAGATCACAGACCTGAAAAGTTAGCCCTACTTCCTCCTCACATATGCAATTTGTTATTGTTCAAGATTGCCAACATCCACAGTTTTTTGGTTGATACTATTGAAAAGTTAACTGTTTCTGTTTTCATACATGTTGCCAGATTTGCTGAGTAGTTCCAACAATATCCTGTTTTTATTTCAAATTTCAAGCATTTGCACTGTTTTGATTTTGTTGCCTCATAGAAGTGAGTTTAGGTGGTTAACTGGGTAGTGATATGCTTAGTTAATTATTTTAAGGTCTGAACATGAGAATTTTTCATACAAAGATCTAATATCCTACGTTTTTAATATTTTTCACTATGTTTAAATATCTAAATTTTCCTTCCCTTTTGTAGGCATGTAGCCGTTTTTCCTTCAAAACTGCGCATTATCCCTCAGTTCATTTTCAATTCTCGTGACCCAATTGTAATAGGAGTTTCTGTGGAAGCTGGCCTTCTGAAACAAGGCACCCCTGTGTGTGTTCCTTCAAAAAATGTAAGTTTACGCAAGTTTTCTACGGGTAATGAAAAAATACTAGTTTTAGTTTACGTTTTAGTTTACATTGATTCCAGTTTATATTTTTGAACAGATTTCAATTGTTAACATCTATACAAACTGTTCTGTTTTTAGTCAGTAGTCTGCTCAAGCTAATTATTTATCTTTTTCCAGTTTATTGATATTGGAATTGTTACTAGTATTGAAGTGAATCATAAACAAGTTGATGTTGCTCGAAAAGGCCAAGAGGTCTGTATTAAAATAGAACCCATTCCGGGAGAATCGCCAAAAATGTATGGGCGGCACTTTGAAGCTACAGACTTCATTGTCAGTAAGGTATGATATTGTTCTGTAAAGAAGAATAAATGATAAGCATATTTTCCTGTCTTTCTACAAAATGGATTATAACTTTAAAATTACTATTTAGGAAGATTCCCCAAAAGACTGAAAACAAGCACAGAAATTTTCATGTTGCTAGGTGTATAGCTTGTCTAGGATGGAATGGGCAAAGTACTCAACTTAATGATGCCCATTAAGTTTTTAATATTCTTACTGTAGGTGAATACGTCTGAACAGACCTAATTATTCAGAGTGGAGAAAAGATTGAACTCCATATCTACTTTAGAAACTATGAAGCTTCAGCAAAGACATGTAATTAGCTCCACTACTGTAGAATTAATTAGTTTACTTACACCAGTTCACTAACTTAACCCATTCTCCAGTCAACTGCAACAACTGTGCACCCTAAAAAGTTTAAGATTTTCAAATCTAATTGAAATTGTTTGTAGCCGTAACCAGTTGCTGCTTTTTTGTTTCAATAAATAGGTGTTCCTTTGCTTGAGCGGTGTCTTAAGCTGACTGCAATTTTCATGTTGTCATTTGGTACTGAAACTTCTAGCTGATGCTTTACCACGAATGGTATAGATGCTAATTTGCAGTGTTAGTGCTCCTTTTTGCCAAAGAGAGTGACTCAAAATGATTGCTAATAAATCAGAACTGCTGGATGCAAGCCTTGATGTAAACCCTGTAGAACTGCTTCTGATATGCAGTGCTTCTACTTCTGTTCATTCCTAAAATTTTACAGATTATTTAAGAATCAATGCTTTATGTATTGTATCAAATTTACACTTCAAGTGAAACATTTTGGGGAGCATCCCTTGATCTTTGAAAGATGAGACAATTCAGTTTTCAGCAATATCTTGATATTGTAACTGCTTTTGACAATTAATTCAAAGGTTTAATTTTTGTTCTGCAGATATTAGGCATAAATCCTATCTTAAAACCAAAAGAACTGCAGGTGCTGGAAATCAGAAACAAAAACAGAAATTGCTGGAAAATCTTAGCAGGTCTGGCAGCATCTGTGAAGAGAAAGCAGAATTAACATTTCAGGTCCAGTGACCTTGATAACTGATTGCAGCTAGGAAAAGGTTGGTATTTATTCAAGTGATGGGGTGGGGGGAGGGGAAGGAGTAAACGACAGGTATAGATAGAGCCCAAAGAGGGGGGAAAAACTGGTTGCCCTGTCTGCGCTTCGTTTCCCCAATATAGAGGAGACCACATCTGCCCTTTTACTTCCTCCCTCCTTACCACTGAAACAATGCCCCAGACGCACCCTCCAGGTGAAGCAGTGCTTTACCTTCACCTCACTAGTCTAATTTACTGTATTTGCTGCTCGCCATGTGGTCTCCTGTACGTTGGGAAAACGAAGCCCAGACTAGGTGACTGCTTTGCAGAACACCTACATTCTGTCTGCAAAAATGGCCCTGAGCTTTCAGTTGCCTGCAATTTCAACACACCACCATGTTGCCTGGCCAGCATCTTTGTCTTGGGCTTGCTGCAGTGTTTCAGCGAAGCTTAACGTAAGCTGGAAGAACACCTCATTTTCTGCTTGGGAACTCTACAGCCTTCTGGACGCCATATCAAGTTCAACAATTCTAGGGTTTGAGCTCTTTCTCCCATGTCCTTACCCCAACTCCCATACACCAGGCCTTGTCATCAAATGGGCTGCCACCATGAACAACCCATTGTCAGCTGCTAGCAGCTGTTCATTCTCTTTACCCAGTCCTTTGTCTAATTGTTTTTCTGTCTCTTTTGACCTCTATCTCCACCAATCGTATCCTCCCCCCACCCCTTCCTCTTCTGTATGTATACCAATCTTTTCCTAGCTACAATCAGTTCTGAAGAAAGGTTACTGGACCTGAAGTGTTAATTCTGCTTTCTCTCCACAGATGCTGCCAAACCTGCTGAGATTTTCCAGCAATTTCTGTTTTTATTTATAAATTCTAGCTTCATTGATTCTGAGGAAACAGCATGATGAGCAAGCATGTGAAATATTATCATGATATCGCATTTAGACTGCTGCAGATGAAAGTGACACTCAACCTTTAGCTGTTATTCTTTGCCATTGTATTGTGTATTATTGGACTACATTTTCCAGAATATGCGTGCATGTAGAACCGGAACCGGCCTTTTGACCTACTATGTCTGTGCTGACTATGATGCCATTCTAATCTAATTCCATCTGCCCACACATGGTCCATGTCCTTGTATTCCTGCCTATTCATGTGTCTGTCTAAATGCCTCTTAAACATTGCCATCATATTTGCTTCTACCACCTTCTCTGGCAGCTCATTCCAGGCACCTACTGCTCTCTGTTTTGAAAAAAGTACCTTGCCTTGCATGTCTCTCTTGCATTTCCCCTCTCATGTTAAATCTACGTGTCGTGGTTTTTGATGTTTCCACCCTGGGAAAAAGACTCTGACTATCCACTGTATCTATGCCTCTCATAATTTTATTTGTTTTTATATACTTCTGTCAGGACACCCTTCAATCTCCAGTGTTCTAGCGGAAACAATCCAAGTTTGTCCAACCTCACTTTATAGCTAAAACTTTTCAATCCGGGCAACATTCTGGTTAGCCTCTTTTGCACCCTCTCCAAAATTGGCACACCCTTACAATAGTGTGGCATCCAGAACTGCATGCAAAACTCCAAATGCGGCTTAACTAAAATCTTGTCCAACTGCAATATGATATGCCACCTTGTAGGCACAGTGCCCCAACTGATGAAATCAAGTGTGCCGCATGCTGCTTTGTCCACCTTATCCACTTGTGTTGACACTTTCAGGGAGCTAAGGACTTGCATCTCAAAATTTCTATATATCAGTGCCCCATAAGGGTCCTGTCATTTACTATATACTTTGCTCTTACATTTGACCTCCCAAAATGCATCACCTCTCACTTGTCCATATTAAACTCCATCTGCTATTTCACCACTCAGTTTTCGAACTGATCTATAATTCTGTTATAACTTTTAATAGCTTTCCTCAGTATCCACAACTGCACCAACTTCTGTGTTGTCTGTAAACTTATAATCAGACCACCTACATTTTTATCCAAATCATTTATATAAATTACAAATGACAGGTCCAAATGCTGATCTGTGTGGAACACACTGGTCACAAACATCCAGAAAACCACCCCTGCACAACTGCCTTCTATGACCAAGCCAATTTGTATCCAATTTTACATGTGACTTAATCTTCTGGACCAGCCTAACATGAGGGACCTTGTCAAATGCTCTAACAAAGTCCATGTAGACCACATCCACTAACCTGCCCTGATCAACTATCTTCATCACTTCTTCAAAAAACTCAAATTTGTGAGACAAGACCTCCCTTGCATAAAGCCATGCTGACTATCCCTATTAAGTCCTGTCCCTAAGAATCTTCGCCAGTATATGTTTCAATGAGATCACCTCTCATTTTTCTTCTGGTTTGGCTACATCTGGAGTATTGTGTCCAGTTCTGGTCACCTCATTACAGAAAAGATGTGGAAGCGTTGGAAAAGGTACAGAGGAGATTTACCACGATGTTGCCTGGAATGGAGGGAAGGTCTTACGAGGAAAGATTGAGAGCTAGGGCTTTTCTCTTTAGAACGACGAAGGATGAGAGATGACTTGATTTGGTGTACAAAATGATCAGAGGTATAGGTAGAGTGGACAGCCAGAGACTTTTTCCTCGTGTGGAGGTAGCTATTACAAGGGGGCATAGTTTTAAAGTGAGTGGAGGTAGATATAGGGGAGACGTCAGAGGTAGGTTCTTTTCTCAGAGTGGTAGGGGCATGGAATGCATTGCCGGAGAGCATAGTGGAGTTGGCCTCATTAGGGGCATTTAAGCGGCTATTAGATAGGCATATGGATGATAGTGTAAGGTAGGGGTGGAGGTTAGGTAGACCTTAGGATTAAGGTAAAAGTTCGGCACAACATCGTGGGCCGAAGGGCCTGTACTATGCTGTACTGTTCTATGTTCTATCACTAATGTAAGGCTCACCAGCCTATAATTTTTTGGATTATCCCTATTGCCTTTCTTTAACAAAGGAACAGCATTGGTTGTTTTCCGGTATTCTGGGGCCTCCCCTCTGGCTAAAGAAGATACAAAAGTCTTTGTCAAGGCCACAGTATTCTCTTCCCTTGCTTCCATCATTATCCCAGGATAGATCTCATCAGATCCTGGGGCCTTAACTACCTTAGTGTTTTTGAAGACACTCAACATCATCACCACCTTGATATTCTAGGGCATATTGATATTAACACCCCTCCCTAATTTTACCACCTTCCATGTCCTTCTCAGTGAATACCGATGCGATGTACTCCTTAAGGACTTCACCCACTTCCTCTGGCTTCATGTATAAATTCCCTCCTTTTGTCCTTGAGTCAACCTACACCTTCCCTAGTTACCCTCTTGCTCCTATTATACATATAACATGTCTTGGAATTCTCCTTAATCCTACTTGACAAGAATATTTCATGGCCTCTTTTAGCTATCCTAGTTCCTTGTTCTTTTCTGCTGCCTTAGTATTCCTCTATGATTTCGTAGAATCGTAGAATCCCTACAGCGTGCGAGCAGGCCATTCAGCCCATCGAATCCACACTGACTCTCCAAAGAGCACCCCTCCAACCCCATCCCTGTAACGTTGCATTTCCAATGGCTAATCAAACTAGCCTGGACATTATGGGCATTAAGTATGGCCAGTCCACCTAACCTGCATATCTTTGGACCAGAGCACCCAGAGAAAATCCATGCAGATAAGGGGAGAATGTGCAAACTCCACACAGACAGTCGCTGGAGGTTGGAGAGGAATCGAACCTGGGTTCCTGATGCTGTGAGGCAACAGTGCTAACCACTGAGTCACCATGCCGCCCCAGTTTGTTTCTTAAATCTTACATATGCTTCATTTTTTTTTGTGGTTCATACATAATTCCAGACACTGAAAAATATAGTCAATAGTAGTTAAATAGAATGCCAAGGCCTGATCGGCATACTGTGTGAAATTGAGAT